GTCTTCGCCATTCTTCGTCCAATAAAAATTAAAAATCCAAAAGACATTATTAGGTCTCCCTGCGAATATTACCTAAAGTACTCACAAAGTTATTTTCGCTAATCCGCGGAGGTTCGGATTGGGCTATCCACCTACAATTAAAAATGTGTTTATAGTATTCTGTCACTTAAAATTTCATTTAATATTTTCATTGGTGCCGGCACCGGAATTTGAATTCATTTAACTAAAAGCAAGCACCCAGACACTGAGCTATCAAGATTAAATTATGAAAGTTAGCTCTGAATACTTTACTATCTAAATTATCAATCAGTCTGTTGTTTTATTAAGCCGTGATAGCTATATATATACCATAGATAGCTATAGATATAGATAGCTATATATAGATAGATAGCTATAGATAGATAGGTGAAAGCTCAGTGTCCGGGCGCTCGCCTTTAATTCAATTTACTCGAGCAACCGGAGTTCGATCCAACTGTTGAACCAATGAAATTGTTAATTTTAAGTGCTGACTTATCACGTGCTAAGCGGTAAAGGAAAACATCGTGAGGAAACCTGCATATTTTCGAAATAATAACAAAAAAAAAAATGTTTCGAAAATATGTGAAGTCCGCCAATCCGCAGTGGGGCCGCGTGGTGGACTATGCCCTGATACCCTCTGTACAGAGGAGGCCTTTGCCCAGCAATGGGACATTTATAGGCTGTTACTTTACTGTTGTTTTTTACCTTTTTAATATTTTATCACTTACGGCGTAAGTCATGAATCCTTATCCTTACTTTATTTATTTTTTAACTCATATCCCTACTATTCCTCACTATCCTTACTAATATTATAAAGGCGAAAGTTTGTATGTATGGGATGTTTGTTACTCTTTCACACTAAAACTACTGAATAGATTTTAATTAAACTATACAATTATATAGCTTATACATCAAAATAAGACATAGGCTATATACAATATATAAAGATATTGTGTGAATTTTACAAAATATAGGTAATGATGTGTCAACTAAGCAGTGTATAATAAAAAGCTCATTGTTAATTCCCTTTGGGCGCGCGGGTGAAGCCGTGGATAACAGCTAGTATTATTTTAAATGTGAAAGTAAGTTATTATGTTACGCTACCACGCCAAAATTACTAAACCGATTATCATGAAACTGTGTACACGAATTCCTAGAGGTATTAAAAAGGACATAGGATTGTTCTTGTAATAAAAAAAATATCTGCCATGTGCGAGTCAAACTATACTAGAGTAAATCTATAAAAACGGCAAAAAAGTCATGTCCGTTGTATGGGAGCCCCACTTAAATATTTTTTTATTCTGTTTTTAGTACCTATTTGTTAATATAGCGATAATAGAAAAACATCATCTGTGAAAATTTCAGCTTACTAAATATCACGGTTCATCACAATGGAACACATCGCGTGCGAGTCCGACTCGCACTTGGCTGTGTTGTTGTCCCTATTCTCATTCATTCATTGTCAATCATTCATTCGACTCACTCATTTCATTTCTTAATAATTCTTTTGTACATATACAGGGTGGCTTTTCTAAAGGTGCCCAAATTCACACAGGAGGTTGACTGGTAGAGAATGCCATTAGGCATTAGGTCCACTGTGGCCCTAAATAGCTTTAGATGTAGTAATAATGCTTGAATAAATAAATAAAAGTTACAAGAGATGACTGGATGAATGTGGTAGAAAAGACCCAAAATCTTATTCTTGAGATTTGGCCGAGACATCAGGATTAGAGTATAAAATTGCTCTTGATCTGATGAAACTTGATCGTTTTTTTGTAACAAATATTCATATAAATTCGGAAAATGGAAGGCTGAAGCTCTTTTCATGGGTCTTGTAGAAAAATAATATAACAGTGTTACTTTTTGCCCAACCCTACCCAACTAAAATTTTGGTGTTAGTTAGAGATTTAATATAAGTTTTATCTCTTTAACGGAGTAACAAATATCTCAGTTCTAAATAAAAATCGATATAGCAGAGTTAAAAAAAAATATATATGACAGTTTAATATGTTTGATAGCTTTTAGAGTAAGAATAGTGCTAATATAAAACATTGTTAAATGAAAGTATTTTATGAGTTCTATCGCGTTTTAATTTGATTCTAGACAGGGGACCATGAATATTGGAAAGGATTCAAAACGTGGGAAACTTAAAAATGGGAAAGTTTAGTTTGGTACATGTTATGGCTTTAACTTGTCTATATCACCTTAAACATAAATAGAACATTCACTGACTCTCGTTAAAACTTATTTTTGTTTAGTTGTTGCTGTAAAGTATCTTATATGCCTTTTGGTCTTATATTGACTATAAGGTGTATACATGGGTTGTTAAACAGAGTTTGTCAAGAGTTTTGTAACACAAGATACTAAAAGTGTTGAACAACTTATTTATGTCGTATAAAGTTATAATGTTACTTTTACTATTGTTTTCTGTGTTTAGATTCACTTAAAAGATGTTGTATCTCAAAAAGCGTAAAAGATGACTTAAACTGAAGTAAAGAGATAAAGCTTTTGTGTAAGTTCGCCACTGTTTTGTTGAACTAACCTATAAATTGACTTGGTATTCAATAATACCTGGAGCACCGAGCTTTGCTCGGCTTGTTTTTTTTTTTTGTAAATCGTGTATTTCGGAAATTACATTTAGATACACATTACTGAGTATTGGAAATATGCATAATATTTATCGATCTTACCGACCTAATAATAAGAAAATATGAAGTGGTGTTTTTCACAAAAGAAACAACTTTAAAAAAAGGGAAAAAAATAACAAAATCCTTTGGATCAACAAAAAATAAAAAATAAAGAAAGTAATGGTCTGGAATCGAAAAAAAAGTAAAAAAAAGAGTGTGTAAATGATCGTGACACGAACCACGGCCGTTTGTTTTTGGGCCGCCCGATTACCGACCGAGCTATTATGACATTTTCTCTTGCGGCGAAATTTACCGTCATATTCGAATGATTTTATATCGTTATAATTATAATTTTATATCGTGCGTAAAAAGCAGCCTTCGTAATTGGCTATTTAACAGTGCAAGAATGTTTCAAATTGGACCAGTAGTAGTCCATGAGATTAGCATGTTCAAACAAACAAACTCTTTAGTTTTATAATATTAATATAGATATTCTCGTCCTTACGTATGAAATTAGCGTTTTGTCGTACTGACCACTTTGATCTGAAATATCTCCTTTTTGGTTAAGAATTCCAAATTCCAAATTTATAAATTCATTTAGCTGGTACATTTGAGTTTTTAAAACAGTCATTCATTTGTTTCTTCCTCATTATTTTATTCCTTAGCGTTGCTTATTGCTGCACAATAGAAAGCATGAAATATCGGTATATTTACGAGTACGAGTACAGAAACAGCTCAAAAGATTAATGATGTGTACGGCGCTGGTGTCGCAAAAGAAAGCATAGTACATTTTTGGTTTCAACGTTTTCGTTCTGAAAACTTCGACCTTCAGAACGAACCCCGTGGACGGCTATTGTGGAATCTGATCCATCACAAAGCACTTCAGAGATAGCTGTAGGCTTCGGACGACGCAAGACACTGCACAACGAACAACCACTAAGTTAGATGAGCTACAATTGGAATGTCTGCAACATCCACCGTAATCCCCTTACTCCAACAGATTACCATTTTTTCGGGAATTTGGACAACTTGACCGATGCGGCAGTCCAAACCGCCATTAGAGTTTATTGATTCTCGCCCCCATGGGTTTTTAGTAAAGGGATCAATGAACTACCCATGAGATGGCAAAAGTGCATAAATAACAACGGTGCATACTTTGTGCATAAAAAAAAATGACTTTATATTCCTCCCGTACAATCATTTTGTCACTTTTTTCTTTTATCACTTTTTTTCTTACATGATAATTTGTCGTTTGATATATTTTTAAACCCGTGTTTTTGTGTGTTTACTATGTGTATTCACAAATTTTATTTGTAATAAAAATGAGTTACTTTTTATTTAAATGGAGGATGTAAAGGTGGCTTCCAAAAATATAATAATAGTGAAAAACTGTGCTAGAAGCATACAAAAATATATCTTGAAAATATATATTTGTATATATACAAATTCGCCTCCTTTTTTTGACGTGGGAGTAATGCCTACGCATACACGTCCTCGCGGGGGCAAGAGCGGGTTATGTCGGTCTCGCACCTACTAAAACTCCCACGATGTAATAACACCTAGGCGCATATCGGCAGGGCCATGGGAAAATTTTCGCACACTTCCGCGACCCTGCCAGCGCTGGCCGCCTCAGCAGCCCCCTCCCATCAACAGGTACAAGGACCTCACAGAAGACGGGCGAAAATCGTTGGAGCCGTTTCCAAGATTCTGATAAGATATATGTAACGTTCCTTGTACCTGGACTTTCGACTGTTAATCCATTATTATAACTGCAATCTTTTTCAATTTTTGAATTCCTAGCCGTACGAGTATGTGAACGTATGTGCTATACATAATTTATCATTTACGTAGCCCCATAAATGATAAATTTTTGTTACACCCATTTTGATACATGCGTTACTTGCCGTTATTGTTTTTCATTTTTTTAACACAGCTGTCTTTTAACATATCAGAATATATGCAAGTGCTTAAGCATGTAAAAAATATAATTCGCATATATATATTGGAACACGTGAATTATGTCCTTTTTTCCTTCGGTACTGCGCTTGAGACGTCTCGGAGAAGAATGAACATTCCCCAATACCCTCACCATCTTGTCTAGACTAACAAGAGCAATTCGCCTTATTGCTAGTCTATTAACCCAACGTCACCTTTAAGTCGTCTTTTACGACAGGCAGGGGATACCTTAGTCCTATTCTATGAGCCCGGGACTACAGTGCTGACGTGGCCTACCTACCTAGCATGATCTGCGCTTTCCCCAGTATTAAAACGGAAACATCCGTGTGATGAATGCCAAAAGAATATAGTCGGTTATTTACCGATGATATTCTTCTTCTTCTGGGGTGCCCTATCCTATCGGATGTCGGTGACCACCACACGGAACTCTTCCCTAAGAATAACACCGCACGGGAAAGAAAAAAAAAGAAAATCCACTGATATGCATTAACATAATTATATTTAACATCAGCACATGTAGAGTCCTTTTTAGGGTTCCGTACCCAAAGGGTAAAACGGGACAAGGAATTCCAGAGACCGCTGTCTGTCTGTCTGTCCGTCTTTCACTAGGCTGTATCTCATTAACCGTTATAGTTAGGTTTAGTTTAGATTTATTTGTCTTTTTTATAAATAATGGTAATGAAAACCTTTGTGCGCGAGTCCGACTCGCATTTGGCCTGGTTTTTTTATTCGTTCTTATCGATCTTCCTCGCAATTAAGACTCGTCCTTTTTCACAACATTCCGCATGTCTAAATTAATGATATTATTATAAATGTATTAATAAGGATGACGCGTGTCCATACTAAGCAGTGTTTAAAAATTGTTCCGTTTTACATTATATCACATAAATACGTGAATGTGACAGATGATGTAGATTGTACGATAAGGAAAGAGATAACATTCTATAGAATTACCATCTAATTACACTAATTGGCGTAATTTGAGTGCCTTAATGTAGGTGCGCTAGTGTCGTATCTACCTCGTTTTTGTATATAATCTAATCTAGTATCATTGTAGATGTCATATTAAGTGTATGCTATTAATTTTTGAAAAGTGACAAATTAGACTTGAACGAATTAAAACAAGCTACATATTTCGTCGAGACCGTAATTAAAACTCCGCTCGAGTGTAACGAATTTAAAAGTAAAAATTCGAGTACTGTACAAAAAACTTAATCATTTCTAGCGTGAAATTTTATTTGATTTCACTGATTCTTTTATGATTTGTTATAATAAAATATTGCTCAAGAAATTGTAAATTACTACCTATACATAATTCGTTTCGAGGAACCGAGACTAGGATTTTTTCTGGGCTTATTTGTACTCAATATTATATCTCTTAAGTAATTCTTACTCAAAGAGGAAGCCAAATGCTTTAAATTTTCCGTGGGATTATAATCCTTCTTGAAGTGCTTGATTAAACCAATCAAAACGTCCTCAATGATAGATGTTGTTTTTACAATTTGAAATAATAGGTACTATTTTCCTATATAGGTACAATTCGGAATTCAATTCTAAAGATATCATTATTTCATTAAAAGTTCCTTAGTAATATTTTATTATTAAAACAAAAAAATTACTACACTACAATACTACACTAAAATTACTACTAAATCTAAACTGATATCAAATTTTATTTACATTTTGTAAAAAAAGTTGTATTGTCCCCTCCGCTTAGTTTTTTGTCTTAGAATAAAATTTAATTGGATTGTTTACTTAATTGTAAATATCACATTAAAAATTGTAAATATTTCTGTTGAATTTAGATTTTGTTTATTTGTAATAAGTTTTACGAGCGATAAGCCGTGAAACGGTATATTAGCTAAAATAGTTCAGAAATTAATAACGAATTCTGCAGAAACTGTGTTATTTATAATATTGTATAATCTAAAGAACTCAAACAAAACAGATGCGTTTGATCTCTGTTCTTGAATGGTATGTTATTCTCTGGTATGTTATTGAAAACTGGCATGTAAGGCCCAACATAAAATATAATACGTATAGTAAGTAACTCTACGTAACGTAACTCTCTATGTAACGTACTCTTACAATAATATTGGTTTTTACGTATATATTATTGATTTTACTTTTAACTTGTGAGGAAATTTTTACCACATAATTATAAAATTTTTACATAAGAGTAATTACAATTTATGCATTAATTTTGAAAAACAGCAGTATTCGTACGAACATCATCAAATAATGCGTATGGATTCCAACCACTTCATACAACAGGATACTTGGCCCAAATATAATTTAAAAATCTTACTCCGTAGATGCTAAAAAATTTGACATTAAGCAAATGAAATGCGATAAAGTCCAATAGATGTATTTACAATTAGCTGCCGCCCGCGATTTCATCCGCATTTTCAGAATAAATTAAAATTTTCTAAAATAAAAGTAGCCTAAGTTACTCCTTATTACATCAGCTTCCTGCCAGTGAACGTCTCATCAAAATCGGTCCAGCCGTTTCGGAGATGAGCCGGAACAAACAGACAGACAGAAAGACAAAAACTGTATAAATATGTTATTTTGGTATATGTACCGTGTATAGATCAATATGCATTTAGTAAAAAGCGATTATTTTAACATTACACACAGATACTCCAATTTTATTTATCTGTATAGATACTTTCATCTAAGATCCATCTTGAGTCTTTATAAACCAGAAGTTTCTATAAATTCGCATGATTATTCCACTAAAAAGATTCACTAAAAAAAAAACGGAAAAAGCACAAAAGTATATTAACTCTCTATTTTATGCCCCTAGAATCTACTTACATCGGTTTTTTACGTAATCAAACCCAATTAGAGAATCGGGCGCGGCCTTCTTTTACAAACATTTACCAACCCAGTACATCGATCATACTTGCTCTATTAAAACAAAACAAAATGTATGAAATACAATTTCTATAGTGAAGACTTACCAAGTATTTTTAATAATATTAACTATCAATGTACTCTAACTTTAAACTCAGAAGAAATTATTGAAGCAGGCTGACAATATCCAATTTCTAAATGCTGTATAATAATATTCAAAAAAATTGGAGTATATTACTGGGTCTAAAAACTGTCAAATTTTGTTAGAGATTAGGCGGTAGGGTTATATAGGTTAGGTTTTCAAGATTTGCTTATATTACATTTAATATTATTATAAACTTTTTAGGGCTAATAGAGTAGAATAAATGTCCTATCGACAAATCTGAAAAACATGAAGCATTTCGTTATTGGTAAGGGCTCTCGACTCTGGGGATTTCAATGGACATAAAAAGACCTCTCCTAAAAGGTAGCCAGCCCTTTTCTACGTATTATAAATAAAATCAAATACCATATTGTATGTGCCAAACTTTATTCATTCCCACGATGAAAAAAAATTATATCAATAAATTTGGTATTCATTACAACGTATTTTCAAAGTTCCATACAAACCAACAACCGTGAAAATACATGGACATAATGAAAATTCTAGCAATAAAGCTGCACATAGATTTAAAAAAGAACTATTCATTTAAAACATTTAATTAAAATGGGTGCGTACGGAGAGTGCACGTACAGGCGGCGATGCAGCGTGCGACCCCGCATAGTTTCGAATCATATATTTGCTATTACTCGAGTTTCGGGAGACTGCATGACAACTACCACTACCCATGTTTGCTTGGCCTCGCTTCATCGACTCGCAGGAGGAACACGTGGGCGCTCTCTGCAAGCGACTTACGCAGCTAGAGGAAGTGCCTCTACGCACAATTCCATTGGCGCCGAGCTCTGAAAATTATAAATTGCTATATCCACTTCGTATATCGACAAAACTTCAATCCTTTCGTCCGTAGCTTGTATGTTTTCCTTTTTAAATAGCTTAAATAGTTCAAACTACCTGATAACGGTATTCCTTCGCAAATACTCGAGCGGTGACACGAACGAGAAGGAGAACCTCTTGAATGGCATATTAAGCAGCTTAAAGCCTAAAAGATGATATAGATATATTTATGGGCTGTAAACAATTTGGTGCCTGTTGTTTGCGAGAATGCGAGATAGCAGCAAATATACATACATTTTCTATGAAGTTATTACTGCCACACATACATATATAAGCCCCGTAGCAGCTGCGTTGTTAATTTTCTAGAGGATACCCACCCTTTTATTAGGTACTTATCAAACTCACCGTATGGAGTGAAATGAACAAACACTTTTTCTTCGCGTCAATCTCCTGCGAGATTATGGCACTTTCCCCACGAGCCTGCCCATTTGTGCAACAGAAAACGCTACCTCAATAAATATTGGTGCAATATTTGTTATCTGACTGATATACCTTATTATATTCTGCGAACTGATAAAATCTAAGAATGGGTTATGAAGGGGCTGGTTAGGCCCGAAGTTATACCAAATATTATCATACACTAAAGCTAATTTGTCTTTCAAGACGGTCTTCATGATTTTTTTTTCTTTTTTCCTTTTGAATTCTTAAAAAATATAATTTCTATATTGTAATAAAAATATATGTAAACCAATAAATATACCGCAGCCGATGTTTCCAGTTAAACCTTTGGTAATCATTTTCTGGCAGAATTTAAAAATATATTTTTGTGAACTAGTATAGTGTTAAAGTTTAAGTCATATTTAGAAAAGAAATTACCTGCCTGTACCCCCTCTTGTATCTTGCATTCATATAACAATATATAATTGGATTATAACAAGAGTGGGACATCGCTAACCAATGACTGGCAAACCAAACATACGGCATTCCAGGCCAAGTCGCCCAACCTTCATCTTTCTCATGCACAGCCCAAAGTACCTACAAATTAAACATTAACGATTTCAAGTTTAAGAGTCAAATAAAACAGATTTTATTAGGGTGAACTTCAATATTTGCTATCTAGAATCGTTTAAAACTTCAACAAGCCTTCCACTTAAATAAAGAGAGAAACGATTGAATTGATGTTCTTGATTATTTATTTACCGCAAAACAAATTGTCAAAATTTTAAATACTTACGATAAAAGTATTGAGAGGTAGCCAGCATATTGTGAATACCCCGACGACTGTCACCATCATCTTAACCATCTGGAATAAACAATATAACTAATTTGAATTTTCATAATTTCTAACACTTTAAATATCCTACAACTATTTAGATATTACGTTTTTCAACTTTCGTAGGGCCACGCAACAGTTTTAGTACTGTTGTTCGGATCAGCATCTCCGTCCAGGGAAATACCAGGAGCTCAGAAGACCGGCGTGAAGATGCAGTAGTAATTGAAGTGCCCAGGTCCCGGTCTATTAAAAGATGGCAAAGCATCTACACAAATGTCTATGGGCGACGGTTATCATTTATCATCAGGTAAACCGCCAGATCACCACAGATTACCACCTTCTCAAACTACGTGTGCACTTATGTACGCACGTAAAAAGTTATACTTCTTCAGTGTAAAGATATTAAGGGTCTGTTTCACAATGTCTGAATAAAGTGATGGATACGTAACTGACAAATAAATTAACTGCCACATAAAACTTCCTATTAAAATAGTATGCGTTTCACAAACGTCTTACCATTAAGTTTATGTGTCAGTTTGTTACTTGTAAGATAGAGATGGCAACGTCGCATTTTGGCGTTTCGATTTAGAGGAAATGTGAGAACATACAACATTTTTATACTTTAATCACTCTTGTAAGCATTCATAATGCATTTCTTTTTTGCATCATTTTGTGTTACGTATTTATATACCTGAAGTACATACTCTTAAATAATTATAATGATATAAAATCATTTTTTAGATTGATTGCAATATTGTGCAACACCACACTTGCTACAATTACAGACTGGACACGAGACGAATTTATATTAACTTTTATGCTAATATAGGAACCCTATTTTTACAAAAAACGTAAGTCCGCTCAAAAAGATTCTTACTTCTTATTCGTTATAGAGATGTTCTGCTGGTGTGACAGGATTTTGAAGTGGACTAAACAGATAAAATGTATTTTCTTAACCTTTATCACCAACAAATACACTATTACCAAATTCTCTGTTCAAAAATCTTTGATTTATAAACGAATTTTTAAATATGGTTTGGTCGTGTGTGGCTTCAGGCTATCTAGCTACTATGTCCATGTAGTCTGAACCAACTATTGTTTGAACATAGAACGAGAATTGGCGTTTTCCGTTCCGATAGCTTTCTGCATTGTCACCACCTGTAGATTTTATTGGGACGTGGGTACAATGCATGGCACCAATAAGCCTTGGAATTCTAGCTATTTATACTGAAATTTAAGGAGACATTAAAATCTCCTTATAATTCAGTAACATCTGGGAACTTATCAAGCTGTACGGATACAGTTCAATATCGTGCGATAGCTTGTGACACCACATACACAATTCGACAAGCTGATGCCTTAGTCACTCCAGTAAAATCACCAAATACGTTCAGAAAACTTCCAGTTGCATAATATCAGGGTGTCAACAGAATTCAATCCATAGATGATATAGCATAATTCCTGAAACAATGATTATTCAAGATCCTATTAGAAACATGGATATTAAGTAGATAGACATTTCACTACATACGTTATTTATAAAAAAATAAAACACATAATTAACTTTCTGTACTAGAAGAAATTTTGTCCTCAATAAGTGAATGGAGATAATAAACAGTATCTTTATTAAATCGAAATCGAACTCTAAATTCCTCATGTATCAAATGTCTCCATGTGATTAGAACGACGTCGAAACACAGGATCTCTGCGTGACTTCGATAAACGATAACAAAAATCATCTAATTCGACGTCCAAGGGATTAAATAAATACATTTTTAATATTTTTCTATTAAATACGTATAACTAATTCCTTCTTGAAAATGATCTGTCAAGTAACAAACCATCAAATACATTCCTTATCTGACAGATGATCTAACCTATAATTTACTTCGAACTTTATTTGCCAGATACGCTTAACAGACGATTGTGAAACGCCAACGATGACTTTATTCGTCAGATAAGTGGCAAGTAGCTTATTCGGGACTTTATTTGGACATTGTGAAACAGACCCTAAATGCAATTGGTAAATGCCTAAAATATGTTATTGGTTGCCAAAATTAAATTGGTTACCAAGTATCATGTCGCTTTTTGAGGGACGGTGTGCGCGCGTTTCGTATAAATTTTACTCTCATTCTTTCAAACGCGCCAAAAGAAATACATATAAATTCAATATAACGTGTTATTAACTTTTTAACGAGCATTTGCGTGAGATAAACGATGGCGACCCCGTTTAGTAGTGGGCAACATGTGTAGTGTTGTGAGTGTCCATGGAGGATTCACCATCACGTGAACCACTTGATTGTTTCCCATATCTTAAAATAAATAAGTACATAATTAAAAAAAAATAAAGTTCCCCTTTTATTTAATACTACTTTTACACACTGCTTCACTTACGGGGGGCATAAAGTAATTTTTTTAAGAATAAAAGTGTCCTATTTTTACTAGTATTATAGATGCAAAAAAGAAACAAAAATTTCGGACATTTCGGACACATTTTTACACAACATTCTCTATTCCCCAACTAAGGATAGCTTGCACTAAAAACTGATAAACGTACATATATATGTATATATACATGGTATATATATATGGTATATATATGTATATGGTATTTGTGGTATGATTAAAAGGTTTCAAGGTTTTATTGAGGTTTTTCAGTCGTACCTTCCTTTTCGAATGCTGCATGCGTGCATCGCGTTCTGACAATGCCTCACCCGGGGGTTTTCCTCCCCATACCACGTGAGCTATACGGGCGTAAGTGCAAACCAGTGCCGTTAATGGCAACAAGAACTGTAACACCATTAACGCACACGTATATTGACGGCTCTGATTTGGACCGCTCCACTGTTCGAGGCATATGTCTCTGAGGAAAAACAATAAACTTAAATTACAATACACGGTTACCCGAACCTAGTTATGAACGACAGTGATACTAAAAACCTTACGATCGACGGTGTTTTTTTTTTTAATTTATTTATTGTAGATCCATTAACGTAACGAAATGAATAATCACACTTATGAAAAAAGCTTTTATATACTTGACATGTATATAATCAAAGGAAAAAAGGCTAGCGAATGTTGTATAGAATATTAAATGTACGTAAATTATCTAAACAACAATAGTGGTTTGGTTGTCGATTTTCAATCTGAAGTTATGTTTCTATCCAATTTCGATTTATGTAGGGCGGAATCTCATCGCCCGTCACTTTGAGCGTTTAACTTCCATCAATTAGGGATAGAATTGATGCTGAAGTATACTCACGCCTCGCAAATTCTATGCCAATCAGTGGGCCTCTGTATTTCCGAAACAACTGGAATAGGCCCCGCTGTAGCCAATGCGCCGCACCATACTGCGGCGACGACTAACTTAGCACTCGTTGTTCCAAGCCGTGGGCGAAGTGGCCTTATAATGGCCATGTACCTATCTATAGATATTGCCAATAGTGTATATGCACTGACGAAAACCGACACCGCCTGTGAATAGTTCACCACTTTGCACATAACCGACCCGAAAGGCCAGTAGCGTAGTACCAACATCGATACAAACGAAAACGGAACACAAAATAAAGTCATTAAAATGTCCCCCACTGCCAAGTTCACAATAAAATAGTTAGTGACTGTTTTCATTCGCGGTGAGTTTTGTACAACAAAGCACACGAGTCCATTACCTAGTAATGCCACAACGAACACAGTGCTGTACATAAAATAGACGCAAACTTGAAACGCAGTCGACGATAGGAAATCTTCCGACGCCGTACTCGCCGAACATATTGCACTGTATTCACCCCATTTCGTTTTGAATGTCGTATCATTTTGAAATGTCTCTCGCGTTGCGCTGCTATTTATTTGAAAGTCGACCGGGGATGTGGTGAACTCCGTATTAACATTTATGATCTCGGTCGTTTCAGTCATAATTACTTTGCAAAGTCCATTTTCCCACTTGTGTTACTCGAATATTACCTCCTGAAATAAAAACCATTTGTTATTACAATGCAGAATCGGTAATAGATTTTGAGAGCAGCAAAGTCTATAACAATTCTATACTGGGTTACGTATGACATTAATTACTTTTTACCGATAATGACTAAATACGGACCCGATTGTCGTGCAGGATATTGACTGTCTCGAACGCTGAAGGGTGAGGGTTCGATCCCCACTACTACATATCGATACCTTAATTGGCAAACCAGCCAACTCCACTTTTGGTCAAAAATGATTTTTGGTTTCTATTGTACGCAATAATCATTCCGCGTGATTTGCAAAAACAACAACTCCGATATAATCACAATTCTTTCTATTAATCGCTATTTATATTTTGTATGGCGTCTGAGTCATGTACAGATACCGCCCTACGTTTTTTGGAAAAAAAAATTGTATAAAAACGACAAAAGGAAAGGTAGTGTTGAAAAACAATTGAACGTTAACACACAGAATGGATACTTATTTTATTTCTTACAAAACAGTGCTAGTTAATTGAGCAATTCTAAAATTTTATATTGGCTTTGAGTTGGCCGGCTTGCTGCTTATTTTATTACACTACGTTGGAAATGATACATTATAAAGTTTATTAAAAAATAAAATTAAATTTGATGATACCAATAAACCCGACTCTTTTCTGGTTGTTAATAACCACGTTTAAAAACTCTACGACGCTTTGGTTGGGCATGATAGCGTAGCTTCTAATTCCTCGAATTTATTGGTGCAAGTGTGGATCGGGAAGTCGATAGATGCAGGTGGCTCAGGATCTTACTTCGTGGCATTCTATGGGGGAGGCCTGTGTTCAGCAGTGGACTCAACTAGGCTGAAATGATGATGATGATTTGATGATTTGATAACAACATTTATTGTATTGGAAATGCACTGTCTGCACATTGAGTATACACAAACATGAAATTGTTGTTAATGAATACATATTTCCGTTTGAAAAAGAACAATTCAGTCCAAGTTTGCTATCTGGTCACCTTACACCATCACTTAAATACAATCTTGAAAATGCCTCTAAGTTTTAAGCCAGCTCACCTCCCTACAAGTAATGATAAATCGGATAACGATTAGGCCGTTCCTTTGATACAGAAACTACTAAAAAATCATGAAACTATACTACTGTAAGTAAAAGAGAAATAGTGTTATCCAATGTCATAATATTTCTGAAGATGACGGAAAAATATTATTTGATAAATTTTGAAGTATGACGGGATAAAAAACGAATTTACGTTGATAATTTAATAAAAATTATACATACAAATAGGCAAAGAGAAAGGAAAGACCCTTAAAAATGTAAAAAAGTTAACGCTTTTATATACCACCCTTCAAAACTGGTGTATTTATGATATGAAAACTAAGGATGGGTGTTCCTTTCTATGGAATGAAGGTAGGCAGAGTTCTGATTAGTTTGCAAAAATTTTAACCAATTTCTTAATTGATAAAGTAATTCTAACAATAGAATTACTATTAATAAGAAGATGACAACAGATATTAAAAAATTTAATTAAATTTAATGATACCAATAAACCAGACTCTTTTCTGGTTGTTAATAAACAATTTTTAAAACCCTACGACGCTTTGGTTGTACACTTGAAAAGAAAAAGAAAGTTTTTATTTAAAATAAATTTATCAAGAAAACCAGCTAACTCCCACTTCACATACTTTTGCACGAAAGGAAAAACGGATAACTCCTAAAAAACGCTGTAGTATGGTAATGAAAATGTATAACGAATATTATAATATCAAAAATGAAAAATTACGATAATATCTACCAACTATATTTTAGATTGTCTCATAAGTACTCTAAAAAAATATTATACAGTTTTAAGTGTTTGTATATGAATACAATGTTATACCATTATCTAGGTGTCTATATCCTTTAAACGAGCAATTCTTATATATATATAAGAATTGCTCGTTTAAAGGATATATATATATATATATATATAGTACCCGGAGGACCGAGCTCTGCTCGATTTGTTTTTTTAAATGTAAATCGTGTATTTTGGAAATTACAATTAGATACAAATTACTGAGTAATTATTTAGTATGTGCATAGATTCGGGGGCGAAAAATCGATCCAGCTAGGTTCCATTTTTAGAAAATGTCCTTTTATCCCTGTTTTCAGGGAATGAAAAATATAATTCGAATATGACGGTAAATTTCGCCGTAAGAGAAAATGTCATAATAGCTCGGTCGGTAATAGGGCGGCCCCAAAACAGACGGCCGCGGTTCGTATCACGATCATTTACACACTTATGTTTTTTTACTTTTTTTTCTATACCAGATCATTGCTTTCTTTTTTTATTTTTTTATTTCCAAAATAGATACATGATTTACCAAAAAAAACCGAGCAAAACTAGGTCCTCCAGGTACTTATTATTTATTTAATTTTTATATTTATTGTGACATTCATGAATCCAATACTTAATTCAGTATTTAGTAAGCATTTTCAATTGACATTTTCTTAGGTTTTTTTTTACTTTCACACAGAAGTCCACAAAAATAAGAAATATATAACTGCAAGTATTTGCTATCGATTAAGTTTAGTCATTAGCAATGTAAAACAATGAATGTTGTCGACATTTGGCAATTAGTACTAGAGTGAAATCTGAGTAAGGAGTGATTAAAAGCACGTTCTATTTTTTTAGTTAAGTACTCGCAGCTTAGCCTGTCCTTAGCCTCGTAGGCGCAACGCCGCCAGGACTAAATGATTTGTCAACAGGACCGAGTATTTGATTGAAGATTAAGCAAACAATTTCGTAATAGGACACGGAAAGTACGGATACAGTACAAACAATGTGTGCTGAATCTGAAAATAACTAGTTTGAAGAAGCCTGTCCTAATAATTTTAACAAGTACACTATTTTATATACTCTTAAGTAACAGCCTATAATTATATGTGCCGCTGCTGAGCAAAGGCCTCCTCTGTACACAGGGTATTAGGTCATAGTCCACCACGCGACAACACTGCGGATTTGCGGAGCTCACATCTTAGAAATATTTATTTTGTTATTATTTCGAAAATATGTAGGTTTGCTCACGATTTTTTCTTTCATTGCTGAGCACGTGATAAGTCAGTTCTTAAAATTAACAATTTAATTGGTGCCGGCACCGGAGATCGAACTCAGGTTGGCCGAATATATTAAATTAAAAGCGAGCGACCAGAAAATGATAACTATCAAGGGGCCTTTTTTCTATTGTATGTATTGTGGAAGCAAGAAGTAGTCGAGCGGTTGCTATTGGCAAATATTGGTGAAAGAAGGCGCTATTAGTAAATTATACTAAATTTCATTGTTCTAGACCTATAGGCAAATACCATTCAAAAGTTTTATTAGTATAATTTTAAAATTTTCTTTTTTTGTTAATGACATCAAAGAAGATTTTATATATTTATATAAATAAGACGTTATTCATGTTATATTTACGCATATTCTGAATCACAAAATGTGCAAAGTAATATTCGATCGAGTCAAGTGCTGCTTGAAGAAGAGTAATCCTTTCATATAGTGTTCGCCGTGTTTAGATGCAAACTGCATTTTGAAATTCAATAATTTCTACCCACGTCATGTACAATGTACACGCAATGCTAGAGACTGATTTATGTCCAAAGATGCTGCGCCGATGGCGGCAAGATGCTTTTCTTTGCGGCTCACATCGCTCCATGAATCTTGTTGTGGAGAGTGCATGTTAATGCACAATCTTCATCTACTATTTAATCCTCATATAGTAAGACATATGGTTTTCAGTATCAATTCGGAGTTAATTATTTGTCATCGCGAATACTAGATAGCTGAGCTATCGATACAATTCAATTCCCAGCGAGGCCCTATGATTCTGGTTTTTTACATTTAAAAAAAACTTGTTAATTGACATTGTTATTTTATTGTTGAATGGTTGACATTGTTAGGTATCTCAAGAAGTACACGCGAGTATGTTGTTAAGATAATTGATTTACTTTTATAGGGAATCATACCAATTCGATGGATTGATTCAATGTTTTGGATTAATGAAGCAGTCTATTTGAAGACTAACGAGGAAAGAGAATTGTTGCTAAAATTGTTGTATATCGCGGCTCTAATAATTCAAAGAAAATCATATTTTCTTAAAACTTTAAAAATAAATTTAATCATATGCTTTATTAGCTTTTAATACTATATTGTCGAGAATTGAACTCCATGTTCACGAATTTTTTTCAAAAGTTTCTTAAATAAAAACTGAAAAATTTAAAACGATTTTATTCATATAATTTATGTTTTACGTTCATAGCAAAAATTGGGAAATATATTAATAAAAGTATAATTTTAAAAGTACTAGTCCGATGACAACGAGGTTTTAGTCATTATCTAAGCCTTAGGAAACTAAGGGAAACTTCTTAGAACCTGCGCCATAGATAATTATCTTCATGAGCAAGATCTTTTAGAAGGGATGCA